ATTAAATGCTTATGCACACATGCGTACATATATGAAGGAGAATATTTATTACAGCCCGCGCAGGTACTAGAAAGGTACGGACGCCATCCCGAAAGTCGCCAAAGCCGCGCGAGTCTCGGAAGAGAAAGCCAAAGCCTAGCTTGAAAAAAGGTATTAAAACAACAAACAAACAAACAAATGCGGCATCGCAATTTCTACAACAACAGCAAACAGGATATGTTCCGTGGCGTGCATCACTTTTAGCATAGAGTATTGGTGTTGGTTTAAAAATATACGCAAACTAAATGGCAGCGGTCTGGAAATAATCGATGATGAACAGCGTGAACCCGACCCTTTAGTCTTGTCCTGTGCGAAACTTTACTTGCAGTCAAGGGACATAAATGCCGGTACATGTATATGAAACCCTTGCATTGAATAACACAACAAAAGTCTCTCGCTATAGTGAGTATAAATCCTCACTAATTTAAGCTTATCTGACTTTAATAATTAGGGACTCATGAATACCTATTGAAAGGTGAGGATCCTCCGTTTTGCATCCCTTGTGATGAAAGAATCACGGTCAAGCATGTCTGGCTTGACTGTGCTGAATATTCCATCAAAAGGGATAACTATTTCAAATCACGAACTATGACGGATCTTTTTAATGATATAAGTTCTCATTTAATTATTGCATTTTTAAAAAGAATTAAATTTGTTAAATGATTTGTAAAAAGATAAATATTTTATAATTGGAAGTTTAATTTAGTAACTCAGATTGTAAGTGGCTGTATCCATAAAGGGGGTTAAAGTACTAGAAAGGTACGGACGCCATCCCGAAAGTCGCCAAAGCCGCGCGAGTCTCGGAAGAGAAAGCCAAAGCCTAGCTTGAAAAAGGTATTAAAACAACAAACAAACAAACAAATGCGGCATCGCAATTTCTACAACAACAGCAAACAGGATATGTTCCGTGGCGTGCATCACTTTTAGCATAGAGTATTGGTGTTGGTTTAAAAATATACGCAAACTAAATGGCAGCGGTCTGGAAATAATCGATGATGAACAGCGTGAACCCGACCCTTTAGTCTTGTCCTGTGCGAAACTTTACTTGCAGTCAAGGGACATAAATGCCGGTACATGTATATGAAACCCTTGCATTGAATAACACAACAAAAGTCTCGCTATAGTGAGTATAAATCCTCACTAATTTAAGCTTATCTGACTTTAATAATTAGGGACTCATGAATACCTATTGAAAGGTGAGGATCCTCCGTTTTGCATCCCTTGTGATGAAAGAATCACGGTCAAGCATGTCTGGCTTGACTGTGCTGAATATTCCATCAAAAGGGATAACTATTTCAAATCACGAACTATGACGGATCTTTTTAATGATATAAGTTCTCATTTAATTATTGCATTTTTAAAAAGAATTAAATTTGTTAAATGATTTGTAAAAAGATAAATATTTTATAATTGGAAGTTTAATTTAGTAACTCAGATTGTAAGTGGCTGTATCCATAAAGGGGGTTAAAGTATTTTAAAAATATGATCCTCCTGAGAGGATACGTAAGTCCACAAACATTCAAAGTAAATTAAAACTCTCCACGATTTTTAATCGTAGAATATGTGTTCATGTGTTTGTAAATGTATGGGCTAGATTTGTTTACGCTGCTAAGGGCTGAAGGGAAAGTGTAAATACAGCTAGGGTTCATGCAGGAATAATAATATAATAATAAAGTGCATTTGTAATGCGCACAATCCAGACATAAAGCCTGCTCAAGGCGCTACAAAATAACATTAAGAGTTTGGTGTAGAGATTTGAATTGGATAGGAAGGTAAGTAGAAAAGCCAGATGCATTGAGAGAATAGGTGTGTTTTGAGTCTTGATTTGAACAGTTCGAACGTGGGACAAAGTTTGACGTGAGATGGAAGAGTATTCCACGAGCACTGGGGCGATGTGAGAGAAAGTCCTGTAGCCAAAGGAATTTAGTCTGTGGGAAGGAACTGTGAGTGAGTTGCTGTCACTGGAGCGAAGTTTTCGAGCTGGTACATATGGAGTAAGTAAGTCACTAAGGTAGTCAGGGCTGGTGTTGTCGAGGCATCTGAATGTAATGCAGAACACCTTGAACTGCATTCTGGCTCTGAGGGGCAGCCAGTAAAGCTCTCTAAGGATTGGTGATATATGCACATACTTCCTGGTTTTGGTAATGATCCTAGCCGCTGTGTTTTGGACCATTTGTAGTCGGGATAGATGTATGTCCCTAATGCCCTGCAACAAACTATTACAATAATCCAATCTTGATATTATTCGACTATGGACCAGGGTCTTTGTTGCCTCCGTTGTTATAAGATGTCTTATATTGCCAATGGTTCTAAGATGATAAAAGCATGTTCTGCATATGTGGGAAACTTGCTTTTCCATGGAGAGCTGTGAATCCAGATGGACGCCAAGATCTTTGACGTGGTGAGAGATTGGTATATGTGATCCTGCTATCAGTATGGGTGTCTCTTCTACCTTGGCCAACTGTTTGCTCGCTTCTACTTTGGCCAACTCTTTGCTCGTGCCTATCAGCATCACCTCGGCCTTATCCTCATTCAGTTTGAGCATGTTGGCTGACATCCAGGACTTTATTGATGAGGTACATTGAGTGACTCGTTGAAATGCTTCCTTTAATTTGCTTAACTGGAACTTGTCCATCATCTGCGTGTCGTCAGCATAGCCATGATTAAGAAGATTGAAATGATGGATGATGTTGGCAAGACTAGTCACATACAGTGTAAAGAGGACAGGGCCGAGCACAGACCACTGTGGCCCTCCACACTGCAGGGTCGTAGAGCTGGATTGTTCATTGTTTATCATTACAGACTGTTGGCGATCTTTCAGGTAAGAGGCGAACCAATCCAAACAATCACCACCTACACCAGCTTCAACTGACCGACGATTCAAAAGGATGTCGTGGTCAATAGTGTTAAAGGCTGATGACAAATCCAGCATGATCAGCGCCGAAATATTCTCTTCATCTTCAGCAGACATAAGGTAATCCAGGACAGGCAACAGAGCTGTTTCAGTGCTATAATTCTGACGCGAGGCACTCTGGAACTTATCAAGGATGGAGCTGATAGACAGATGCACCTTAAGTCTCATGTTCACTGATCTTTCAAGAACTTTGGACAGGAACGTCAAATTAGAAGCTGGCCTAAAGTTCTTAGACTGGCTGGGATCCAGATCCGATTTCTTTAGGAGAGGTTTACTACTGCTTGTTTGAAGCTTTGAGGGAATGGTCCTGATTCCAGGCTTTTGTTGACGATATCCGTGATGACAGGAAGGAGCAGATTAATCACCTTCAACGAGAGCATAGTGGGCATAGGGTCTAGGACGCAGGTGGTTGCTTTAGATGCAACCATAATGTCAGAAACTTCGTCCACGTTAAATGGTTGAAACTTCACCATTTGCTCACCAGTGAATCTTGCAAATTCAATTTGGGTAGGAGCAGCCGCAGATTCATTGATCAAGTCATCTCTGATCTTGTCAATTTCGGAGACAAAGAAGGAGTTAAATGATTCAGCCAGGACTTTAGAGTCTTGAGACTGTGGAAATTCATTGTTTAGAGTCTTTGCCAAGGTGTGTTCATGAATGAATGCATTTTCTTTGGATCAGGTTTAGTAGTCTGTAGGGTCTAGAGGTAGTGCTCACGTTTAACCTGACAGATTACTCTTCTTTTCCATAAGTGGAGCATGTTTATCCAGAAGGGATTCCAGCATTTCATCATAGAGTTCAACAAGCTTCTCAACATCAGATGCTGGATTACACAACAGGTCTGAGGTTTCAAGGTCAGACCGCAAAGCAGCTAAGTCAATGTTTTTCAAATTTCTGCACAGCAAGGTTATCTTCTCCTGTTTTGCCTTCTGCTGGTTCAGATCTATGAGAATGACCATGTTGATCCGACATTTGTCTATCTTCGACCATTACATCTCTGATAATATTCAAGTTCTCATTAGACAACACCCAATCAAGAATATCTCCTGATTTACGAGTAGGCGTTCCCACGTGTTGTATCAAGCCATGAGAATCCAGGAGTGACAGAAACTTTTTCACTTCCGGAAGCAAATGTACTGTAAGTCCGCATGGTCCCTAGTATGGCGATCTACCTTCAGCTGTTGGGAATTTATAGCCTATTTTTACATTGTATTGTCATTTATAGTTCCAATTTTTTTGACTTAATTACTAGTTTTAAATGGATATCTGTGATACACTAGTAGTTTTACTGTTCTTCGTCAACAGGTTTTGAATTTCTCACTTTATTGATCTTTAATGTAATTATAAACTGTTCTTGACACGATATGGCTGAAATATTACGGTTTTTACGATAATTATTAACTCACTCATTAATAGAAAGGGACAAGAACTATCTTAGAAACATGGTGAAAAATAAATGACGAAGTTGTTATCCATAAGGTTTGTAGTGAGGCGCGGCGAGTCAGTGTCTCCATACATCGACGTGTGTACATAGAATGATCAATTTTGAGTGGTCGATAGCTGCTTAATTTATGTGTATCTTGCCTACAGTTGTCCCTTGAGTCAAATGCGTTAGTGATACCACAACACTGACAATATTGATAAACTGCCATATAGCATGTAAGTGGCATTGGATGACATAGCACCTTTCAGCACTTCATTTCCACGATTATGGCAACATAATATACACAAGTCACATTTCATTCCTTGATTTACGAGTCAAACTTAGGGCAGGGTAGGGTGTCAACATGACTTAATCATAGTTTCTCAAAGAAGGATATAAATTGTTGCTATTGTCTCACGTTTGTTAAATGACATCGTGAGGATAGTTTATACGAATACATCAGATCAAACAGGTACTAATTCATGTGAATGTGTATTCAACAATATGAATGCCAGGTATCAGGTCCATAACAGTATTTCATAGGTGAGTGAGTGAGTTAGTCATCTCATTGAATATGTGAAAGTTAAAACAACCTATTCCGATGAAGGTTAAAAATGTACTTACCTGCTGCAAGACTGAGACTGGCCATCCACAACACAGCTCTGGTCCACACCGCCATTGTGTCACACAGATGCTGTGAGAAGACGATCACGTTCCTATTTATGTATGTTCATTGTGAACCCATCCCAGTGAATGTCATCAGACAAAAGAATCCGCCTGCATATCTTTAATGCAAACTGTTGACTATTTATGGTCTGCATACAAACACATCTAAACATACCTCATATTCAGTAGAGCGTCGTAGATATGTGGCCGAGATGATTTTATACTTGTTTTGTAAATATTTTAGAAACGTGTTTTAGGCCATTAAGTGCCTGTACAAGCTATAACACGCACACAATTTACAGAAAGTAACAATAGATTTACCCCAGCAATTATATAACTCTTAACTTCACCATAGCCACTGTCAATCTAATGATAAGCGCATTGCATTGTCTGCCTTGTCCCATATCCTTATTATGTAAGTCTCCTTGCCTACAGTTCAACTTTATTTCATCAAGCAGTTGTCAGATACTACTCTTACAAGTCAGAGGTCATACACGTTATGCTGAGCGAATAGCTTGGTTTTTTTGTGGAATGAGTGGCTGTGGACCTCACTTCTATTTATGTATCTATAAGAATATCCCGATTGGACATTGTCAACTTAATCACTGCCAGCTCATTGCCACACAGTGAGCTGGAAACTGATTAGTGTTTACACAATAAAGAGATTGCTGTCGGCTCACAACCCAGTAGCTGTTCCGCATTATTCTTTCGCTACTACAGATATATCCATTCTCCATGATAAACACAGCATGTAGTCGACTTTACCATAGCAAGGTCAGATAATGTGCAAACATAACATGCCTTGCATGGTATACTTACTAGTGACCTTACTACATTCGTTATCATCCAGATCTTGTGATTTCAAAATACTATTATTTCAATAAATATACAGTATAAAATACTTCGTCGTCATGATTTTGTAAATTTCAGTGGTAGTATATATTTTCTTTAAATACTTCCATTTTAGGCAATTTTTGAAAATGGCTGGGGCTTTTGGTAGGGCAGGACATGCTTGTTTTCGCCAACATTTGCTGTTTAGTTATCCATTCGTGATCATATACTTTTCACAGCTATGTTTCCCTTTACACCAAACGGAATTAGTCTCTCGGAGTGAGTGACTTATTATTTAGCGTCACATCGGCAATATTCCAGCCATATCGTGACGAAAACAGTTTCATTTCCATCAATATTTCAAATCAATAAATCTAGAACGTAAACTACTGTCATCGAAGGACAGTAAAACTGCTAGAGTATCACAGATCTTGATTTAAAACTAGTATGCTATCACAAAAAAATATCACTATAGACAACAGTACAATGTAAAAACGGGCTGTAGATCACCAGCAACCATACTAGGGACCGCGGGGAATTACAGTACTTTTACTACCTGCATGGTCCCTAGCAGGATCTATATCAACCCTTCAGCAGCTGGCGATTGTAGTAAAAAATAGCCAAAATGAAAATGACAAAAATACTACATTTAAAAGACCTGATAAATCTAAATTTCCTTTGAATGTTACGGGACTCACGTACCCTCTCAGAAGGACAATAATTGTACTGTCAGTCTTGGAGGAAGTATGTTTCCAAAATTAATTCACGCACACCTTTTAAAGGTGTGGGACATGATTCAACGAATAAAGGGCAACGGTTCCACATTATACTGTCCATCATCTAAAGGATTGTGACAATTTTTTAACTGATAAGTCTGACATCGACAATAAGCTTGGTGAAACGCTCGTCAAACATTCTTTTTCGTCAAATTGGCACCCGTGAAGAGCCACCTCCTCGTGGTGGGTGCTGGGTAACACTAAGCGCTCTTCAAACCCCCCACCCCGTTTTGGACCCGGGGGTATATTTGGTCCACCAACCCGTTTGCCGTGGGTTGCGCCCCTGTGTCGGTGGAGGACAGGATTCTGGTGGTTGAGGGCACTGGTTCCAGGAACAGTGCTCCTTTGCCCAACACACCACTTCGGCCCTGACTTCACCTAGACGGGTGGTAGAACTGGCTCGGTTCTATCAATCGGCTGGAACGCCATGCCCTGTGCATGGACAACATTCAAATTTATATAATGTACATTTATAAAATGTGGATATTGAATGTTGCATTTCAAAATTATATTATTATATACATTTGCCTAGAGTCCTATGCCAGAAGGCGGTGGCTCATGGGCCAATCTGCTGATAATGACCTCCAAATGATGCATTTCTCTAATTTCGTGTCTTGGGCCAAACCAGTCGGGCATGAAATTGGTAGATAAATGCAGCTATTTGTGTTGTTTTTCTCTGGAGTATAACACCCCTGTATCCCTGGTGTCAGCATCTTGGATACCCGTTGCCATTTGACACTGTCGTTGTTGACACTTCGTGGTGGGTGGGGAGCAGGGTGCTGAATTATTTCCTTTCATCATGGAGCTTACACATGCGGGTTCAATTCGCAATGAAAAGAAAAGACGTTTAGAGGACTTAGATCTCTAAACTGGAAAAGATGCTTCAAACAATGATTCCTGGCCACGATTTTTGATGATTGAGGCTGCAGATTTCCTACCCGTTAAACTAAACCCGTTTGCAATCTCAAAGGCTAAATCTGGTATTTGCGGACACGTTAACAATGTCACCCGTCTCCGTAGTGGTTCACTTCTTGTGGAGTGTGCACGGAGACAGCAATCTGTCAATTTGCTATCGATCAAAACATTTGCAAAAATTGAGGTTGTTGTTGCTGTGCACAGGACACTTAACTCTTGTCGAGGCATTGTTCGGGACAGCTCGTTGCTTGTCCGACATGTCTGAAAAAGAAATCGCTATGGAGCTAAAACAACAGGTGGTAACCGCAGTTAAGCGTTTAACTATCAAGAAAGATGGCTCAATCATAAAAACAAACACATATTTAATGTTGTTTGCGCGTTCTTCTCTACCAGACTCTATTAAAGCAGGATATTTTAATATCGGAGTGGAGGTGTATGTCCCCTCTCCACTCCGATGTTATAAATGTCAAAAATTCGGACATGGTTCAAGCTCTTGTCGAAACTCTGTCGTCTGTCATCGTTGTGATGACAACCACGAGGGCACTGACGGTCAAAAAGATTATAAATGCTGCAATTGTGATGACACGCATGTTGCATCATCAAAGGCTTGCCCAGTGTGGCAAACGGAATCTGAAATCCTCAAGCTAAAGTGTCAAAACAATATTTCCTACCTTGAGGCCAAAAAACTATTCAAAACTGAGACAGAACCTCCATCAACCATAACCAATTCTGCTGCAGTTTCTCGATCTGTGGCAACATGAACTATTTCGTGTCAGACTGACTTGACATAGGTCAAGTCAGAGAAGCCCCTTGCTTTAAAATCAACCAAACCCCCTTCTCAAGCTATTCAGTCAACGTTTGCATCGAAGTCAACGTCTGCATAGCAGAGAGAGAACTATGTTACGGCAAAAGCAGGAACTTCTGTCAAACAATCAGCAGTAAATCAATTGACAAAAAAGAAAGGAATGAAAAAAAGAATAGAAACAATTGCCGTCCCTTCACCATCAGAGGTTCCTTTACAGAACTCATTTGGGCCTCTGGATATGGAGGTAACTCTGTCCGTGCAGGACAGGAGGGGGAACAGCTCCCCCTCACATTCACGAGAGAAATCGCTAATTGAGCCACCATGACTCAGTTAGCCAATTTAATTGAATGGAATTGCAGAGGGCTGAAGAATAACTTCAATGAGATACAATTGTTATTACAGGATTTTAAGCCTTCAGCATTATGTGTTCAGGAGATATATAAAAAAATACGGACTCATTCAATTTACGACAATACAGTGATTATCACTGCTTCTCTCCGCCAGGAGATAAAGCAACTGGTGGTGCTTCTGTTTTGGTACAGCAGGGCATCATACATAGCCCTGTCCTTCTTAATACCAATCTCCCATCTGTAGCTGTTCGTCTGACTATGCACAGTGCGTTGACGTTCTGCAGTTTATATGTCCCTCCATCTTCTGATATCCGACTGTCGGATCTGCAATATCTGTATGATCAGCTGCCGGAGCCATGTCTCATCATGGGCGATCTGAACGGACACAATCCACTTTGGGGGTAGTGTCAATACTAATACTAAAGGTAAATTTATTGAGGAATTCATTTCCGATAGTAATTTATGTATTTTGAATGATGATTCAGCCACTTATCTTCATCCAGCTACGGGAACTTATTCTTCCCTGGGTCTGTCTCTTGCTGACTCAAACTTGTATAATGAATTTGAATGGATGGTCCATGATGACCTATGTGGGAGTGACCACTTCCCTACCATTCTTAAAACAATCAGCCCTGGTGATGATCCTCCTTTATCAAGGAGAAATTTCGCCAGGGCTGATTGGTCATTATATGAGAATCTGTGTGTTGAACACTTGAAGCATGATCTTTTTAGGAACAGTAAAGATCCTATACAGTCTTTTTCAGATATACTAAATCACATTGCTGACAAAACAATTCCTAAGTCCTCTGCAATTCCACATATTCGTAAACCATGCTTTAATAATGAATGCAAACAGGCCAGAAAATGTAGGAAAGAGGCCGAAAAATATTTTCGCAAACACCCTACTGTCCATAATCTAGACAAGGTCAAACTTACTAATGCTAAGGCTAGACGTTCTTTTAAACCAAATAAGCGTCAGTCTTGGCGAAATTATGTTTCTAAAATAAATTCACGTACACCTATGTCAAAGGTGTGGAATCTGGTCCAAAGAATAAAGGGCAAAGGTTCCAAATCTACTGTTCATCATTTGAAAGACGGTGATAATTTATTGAATAATAAAACTGACATTGCAAACAGACTTGGTGAAACTCTTGCAAAGCATTCATCTTCATCTAATTATGTCCCTGAGTTTCAAAAGTATCAGAAACAACAGGAGAAAAAAAGAGCAAATTTTAACACAGACAATGGTGAACATTATAACGAACTATTTTCGTTACATGAGCTCCATACCGCCCTTGAGCAAGCTCATGATACAGCAACAGGAGCTGATAATATTCACTATCAGCTCTTCAAATATTTACCGGAATCATGTTTAGAAATCCTTTTAGAAATCTTTGATCAAATATGGACTTCAGGGAATTTCCCAACTTCGTTGCTTACTGCCATTGTAGTCCCTATTCCAAAATAGGGTCGGTATCATACAGATCCGTCTAATTACAGACCA